ATCCGCTCTACACGAGCAACTAAAACACGTCTATGCTGTTAGGAGTTATCATCCCTAAAGCCTTGTCAATCCTTATAATAAAAAATTTAAATATTAGATAAATTTGACTATTTTCTTATAGTAATTCAGTTTCTATTCGCTCTTAAGTTACCATATTCAGTCATATATATATTAAGAGTGAAATATACATATAACAGGATCAAGTGTCACAAGCCTAACTTAAATTATTCCTATAATATTAATATGACTTTTTACTTTACCTTGCTCACTTTTGTTTTGGACGATCTTTGTAATTGTTATAAATGATCTTATCTAGATGGTCCATATGGAAACAAGTTAGTGGAGATACCAAATATAATTTTCATTATGATTCAACAAATTTTAATATATATAATCACGTGTATACGTATTTTCCTAGTAAGACTATTAAAAAAAAAAGACACTATCCCTATATGATCAAATAATGGTACATGTAACTTGATCTTAATTTTGAATGTATTGTGAACTCCTACCACATTAATTATTCACGTGACTAAAGATGATGAATAACTAAATATGCTTAATATTTTAGGGACATAATAAAAAAAGTTAGAGCAAATTTATACACATGAAGAAATTAACAAATGGTTTATTGTGTTAAGTGCTTCACCCTTCAATATCAACCAAACCATTTAGGCCACATTTACTTATCCGCAATCGTAATTGAAATCAATCGTAATAAAATCAATCGAAATCGTAATGTTATTCCATTGATGTTGTTTACCATAAATTTTCTAGAATCGTAATCAGAATTCCTTTGATGTTGTTTACTAAAATTATATGGAATCGAAATCTGAATTAGATATATAACAATTACTAATATACCTCTTCCTCCGTTTTAGCTAATTAGGTGTTAATCTTTTCTAAATTACAATAATAATAAACTTTAATTTAATTTATTACTATAATATTGATAGTAAATATTTTTTATTATAACAATTTATCTCATATTAATAGATAATGAATAATTAAAATAAAATTACATCAAATAAAATATTTTTATTAGAATAACCAAACTTTAATACAACATATTATTATAATATTTAAAAGTAATATTATCTATTTAAAAAATTTATTGATATTAATTAATATTAATTTATCATATTATATAATAAAATCACATCAACTARAAAAATTGAAAGTATATTATAAATGGAGAAAGAAATTATAAAAAATATAAAAAAAACTAATTAAAAATTATATGGATCTAATCCATAGATGAAAGAGGAAGGATAAAAGTGGTACATTAATSATAATATATATATGTGGGGTCAACCTAATAGGGAATGAGAATACCATTGATGGGGTTGTAGGGGTGTAATAGGATTACACTTTTTTATGCAATGAGATTACAAAATTTGAGGTGGTCCCACCATTTGATTACAGTCCATAAARAAACGGAATCAAAGATTACGATTCATTGATTACGATTGCGGCCAAGTAAACGACCTTAATAAATTGTTTTTTAAGTGTGGTTTGTATTCCAATTTTAGAGAGTAGTTTGCTTTCTTGCATTACTAATAAGAAGCCAGCCCATGATGTGATATTAAAAGCTGGCTATATAGCAGGGTTGGCGTGACTCGAGAAGAAAAATAGATAATCTTAAGATAAAACATTAATTTTGCACAACTACAACATTGTTCACAAGCCATGAGGAGCATAATTGCAAAATTCCAAATGCAAAATGTCAAGCTAGAAAATCGAAATTGGTAATTATGCAGAAAAATATTTAAACTATAATAGTTCGCCCAGTCTATCGCTTTGAAAGGTCATAGAGAGATGTCTCTGTAACCGCAACTGTTTGAGTCTTGCGGTACTATGTATCTTAAGGTCTTAAGTTTGAGCCTTGCATCGGTCACAATATTGCTCAAGATAGACAATGAGCCCTAATTATAAARATGATTCACTAACTTGGATGTCAAATAGTTTTGTCATATATACTTTTAAATAAGATTTTTCAAAAATAACAATTTTGTGTGGTAGATGGGATGATCATTAGTGTCGAGCAGTGATGTCTATCAATTAATTTCTTTTATCATTAATAGACATCTACCAATGTGATTTATCTTATTCATATATATCTATTAATACCGTCTTCATAGTGTCTATGATATCACACACTATCAGTTTATTAGACGAAAGACTTGATAGATATTCTACATACATGTGCTGTTGAGAATGTAATGATGATTTTTTTTAAATCATGTCATATTTGATTCTTTTCTTTTAATTTTGTACAAAAATTGATAGTAGTTTCAGCTACATTAGTATGTGCAATGGTCTCTATTTATATTTATACTTAGCTAAATGGATATTACGACCTGCATTTAAATTTTTATAAAGAAATTGTCTTATTGATTTTTTGAGTTTGGTTTTAAGTCATTTTCTTGTCGAAATGATTTTAATTTCTTAAGTTGGGTCGATTTGTTACGTAGATAGTTTGTATTTTGTTCTCTATATCTAAATGTAATTATATTTTAGAATAGGTTGATGATGGGATTGTTAGGTTCTATCATTATAATTCCATGACTGCACTAAATAATTTTTGTCCTCGATATATAAAAGATAAAAATTGGGAACAAACATTAGTCTTAGAAAGATGAAGACTATTTTACTCAAAAAAAAAAAATTAACAATAATAAATTCATTTATCTAGTAATTATTATGTTCTTATTAATTTTATATAATAAATATTAATGCATAGATTTTTCTTATTTTTTTATTTTTTTTACCGCAACAAAAATTATTAGTATGCGTAATCCACTACTAAAAGTAAAAAATCCCTATTAACTTCAACCTTGATTGTTATTATAATATATATATATATATATTTAAGATTATTATAATTATAGTAAATAATTACTATTGCTCCGTAGTTTATTACTCCCTTGTATGCATTTCTTTTAACTCCTATTTTTAAATATTTTACTACATGGCTAAACTTCTATAAATATTTTTTTTAGTTAAACAAATCTAGGGTCAAACATGAGGTTAGCTTAGTGGTAATTGACACTTATCTTTGATCCAAGGGGTGAGTTCAGATTCTTCACCCCAGTTGTTGTATTAAAAATAAATAAGTTATGTGAGGAGGGAGATAGAACTTTCAACTTCAAGTAAAAATAATATGTGCCTTATCCCTTGCCAACATGTTATGCAACAAATAAAATCATAAATATATTAAATTCGTGTTTGATAATTATTTTTTTTTTAATTTCGATTTTTTAAATAAACTAAGTTTAGCTAAACACTGCATACATTTATGTTTCTCTTTATTTATTAATCTACATTAAAACAAATTAATCCAAACCAGTTGAAGATCTTAATCCAAATAATTAATCCAAATATATTCTAAATAAATGTGAAAACATATAAAAAAGTTGGGATAAATGAAACATACTTTTTAAACATTTGGTAATGTTTCCCATTTTTCGTTGTTTATGGTGAATTTTGACCTGGCTCGAGGATCAATATGGATCAAGCCTTGGCTGAGCTTTCGAAGCGAGCTTAGTGAGAAAAAACCTGTACAAGAGAAAAAAAACACTTTGACACTAAAGCCAATAATATACCGATCTTAGGTCTCAAGTCGAGGAATCAAACCTCGTACCTAGAGTTAGAGTGGTGTTCCTATTTACAGAGTGTCAGATGGTGGAGCTCATGTATACCCGTTCTGTTAGGCTATTTGGAAAAATTTGTTAGGCAGTTACCATAGGTCGCTATCTTAATCTCGGTGAATGGCGTTTCCTTCAACCAATGAGGTCATGTAGTAGGTTGAGCTTCAAAGGTCGACAACTTTATATTTCCAAGATTATGGGAAAAGATCTAGCATACCAATTTCTTCTAGAGATCACCACGTAGCAAAGTCATATTTTACCCTCCAACATTCATGTTTCTTTTTTTTCCTCTCACTTGTACAAAAAATAGAACTGGTTTTCTTGTTATTTAAAATTTAAACTAAAAAAAGTAAAAGTTCTATATAAAAATTAAATTTAAAATTTTAAAATTTAAAATATAATAGATTTGCTTTTTAATATTTATTATGTATTTTATAGGTGAAATAATGATAACACATCATTTTAATTTATGTTTTAGAAAAAAACTAATCAAAATGAAAACAAAAAACAAGAAACTTTTAAAAACGTTTCTTAAAAATTATTAACAAGTGTTTGATCTGAAAATCGATCAAGTTTGAAATCCCCATAGAACGGAACAGACAGGATGACCTCTCTATCACTGCTACCAAAGAATCTGCAAAATAAGGTTAGCACTCCAACGAGCAAGTGAGCCTCAATTCAGTCTAAGCCCAAAGTAGGAATTGATTCAGGTATTACCTTGTTTAAAGGGCAAGCATCCCTATTTATAGGAGCTTCCGACAGTGACATAACAGTCATCCAACCGTTTGCGGAACACGACGTGTTGTCAGGAATAACATGTTGCTTACACACATGCGGACATCTTCAATAGGTCGGCTCACACCTTCGTCAGGTCGGCCGAATAATAATAACAAAATAGGTCGACTCGAAAGCTATATACCGAACTGGCGAGGCTTCAACGATACACAATGTTGTTTTAGATAGATTTGTTTTCTTAATTACTAATACGTGACACGCGGTAAATGACCTCAACCACAGGAAACAACTAAAGTTACAAAACACTTCACCTAATAGAAAATAAAAGTTTTTCTACTATGGTTATAAATGGAATTTGAGATGGCGGTGCTAAAATTGGGGAGGAGAGAGAGAGAAATAAATATGTATATAGGAAAGAAATGATTCTTGGAATTTGGGGAGATCGATGAAGCCAGAGAGAGGGSAACAGAGAGAGTGGTCAAACCTGCCATTCACCCTACAAACATGGCTTCTTCTTTGGACCCACTTCTCTCCCACATGTCTTCTCCTTATGCCACCTTCTTTTTGGCCCCCTACTTCTTTTACTCTCAACACTTCTCTCCTTCCCCCATATTCATCATCATCTATTTCCCTCATTTTCCCTTTCTAAATCACTAACTTTGAACAGAAATGAAGGTCAGCTTCATCTCTTTCTCAGCTTTCTCTATGGTTCCCCCTTTCGCTTTATTTACACGGTTTGTTTGTTTGTTTTTTCTTTCTTCAGATCTTCAACTGGGTGCACAGGACTTTTCATAATAGCGTTCTCAAGGGTTTTTCTCTAAACTTCTCGTTTTAGCTGACAAATTAGAGAGCATTTTTTTTCAATACTTAAAAAAAGGGGCAATAAAATTGTTCTTCTCGAAATTTTATGTTTGGCATTGAACTGTTGAATTTTTTTTGCAGAGGGGTATGCCCAAAATCGGACCAAAAAGGCTGAGACTGCGATCAATGATGTTGATAGGCATGCATTGCTGAAGCAAGTGGACCTTGATGTGGAAGCCCTTCATGACTGGAGAGATGGCATTCTCACCATTGGCACATTAGGGTTCGAAGCATTGAAGCTCCCGACCGAGCCGAATGAGTATTTGGTTATCGAAAGTGAGGAAGAAGAAGACGACGAAGAAGAGGAAGAAGAAGAGAAATCTTTCGTCCACGAGGAAGACGAGGACATCATTGATTACTTTGAAGACGAAGAGCTGAACCCTTTGATGTTGACCGCGTTTCGACACAAAGGGAAGGATGTAAGCGGCGAGAAAGAGAGAGATTTGATCCTTCGGGGTTATGAGTTCGAATCGAAATACAGTAGGATTATCGAGATTGAGAACGAGGACAAGAAGAAAGGAGGCGAGAGGAGAATCACACTGGCGGATCTGTTCTTGGCAGATGCCAGTGAGGTTGGAATGAGACTGAAGAACGGTGATCAAAAAGTGATGCATAAGAAAACAGCTGATGTGAGAACTAAGAGTAGCCTCTCGTTTGCCAAGAAGCTTATCCCTCGTGTTAAGGAGGATTCACACCCTATTAAGAATTTCCAACGAGTGAGTACTATGCTCTCGTTCTTTCCTTTTAGTTTTTTTTTTGTTTTAAAACGTAAAAAAAAAAGAGAGTTTGGTATGACTTTAAAAACCAAAACATGCTTAATAAAAATTTTAAAATTTTTTATTGCATTTGGTTTTAATGAAAAAGACAGTTTTTACAAATTATAAAGATAGTTATCCAAATGCCATTTTGGATGATTTTTAAGAGTACATAATTTTATAGTTAGAATAAACTTATTACATCTTTAAACTTTTCAAAATTATTGTTGACAAAGCGAAACACATAAAATTTGAGAAAGTGCCTTTAATAGGCTGAAACAACTATTTTTAAAGTCATCCAACCTCACTCCCAAGTAAAATTTTATTTACTGTTTATTTTAAAAATACTTACTTATAAAAAAATTTAAACTTATTTTCTTAAAAAAGAAAAACAAATAATTAAAAAAATTAAAAAACCTACAAAAGTAACATGAAAATTATAATTCCCTAGGGTAGACGAGTACGGTTGAAACCTAAAGTACAAAACATATATCGTATTGCTAATTTTAAGAATGAGAAAAGTGAAAACAAAAGAAAATTAAAAAACATGAAAAAGAAAAAGAACAATACGACAAAAATATTGGCGAACCCTTGTTGTTATACGTGTCAACTAAAGGATGTTACAGCATATTTACAGATTTTATTCCAGAAACAAAAAATAAAAATTTTAACAGATGTCACGACGGAATATTTACAAATATAGCAATATTATTATACTTTTTAAAATATGACTATTTTTATATTTTTTTATTTTCCGTATACCACTTACTAACATTTATTCGTCCATCGTACTAAAGAAAATGCATCTATATTAATCTATCACTAAAGATGTTTACCATCAATAGACCAAATCAGTGATATACGTCTATTACAGACATTTTAAGACTCGTAAGAAATAGAGACAACGTAGGGTTACAAATAACTCTATTACTGACAGACATTTTAAGACTCATAAGAAATAGAGACAACGTAGGGTTACAAATAATGTGATAATCGTGTTATGATGCCACCTATACGTAGTTGATGAGAAGGATGCTGAAGAGGAAGATCCACCCAGAGATTGAGGACAAGATCAACAAATCAGTTGACCACACTACTCAACAAATAGGATCGGCAACCAATGAAGGATTCAAAACCTCGGAATCCCTCTCTCTTCTTCCAACTCAAGGTACATACATTCTATATTCATGGGGTTGCATCTCAAAACTAATTAAACATGAGAGAAATTTATTGAGTCCCTTATCCTTTCAATGTGGGATCCTTAACATGCCCACTCAAGATCATGGTTATTTTGACTCGTATTTTAGGCTATGATATCATATCAAGATTCATGAGTTTCCATCTCAAACTAATTGACTATGAGATGGGTAGTCAATGTCTATTATAAACTTTTATTAAGTCCCTTATTTGTTCAATGTGAGATCTTTAACAACTCCAATCTCATCCTACTATTAGAAGGTTTTAATGGTTCCTCGATGTCCTACTTCTTGGATTGTTCTCATAGCCCTACTATTAGAAGATTTTAATGGTTCCTTGGGGTCCTACTTCTTGGATTGTTCTCATAGCCCACCTTCTGGTTCGACTTATCCCAATGCCACTTTTGAGAGAAAACAAGGTTTCAATTTTTTAACATGGGTTGAACTGAGGTCACCTTAGAAGAGTTCTTTGAATACCTCAAGCTACCTAACTGCCTAGGAATCCTTAATTTATTGAATGCATCTGCGTTTCGATAATCGTTGAAATGTAGCTTTAAAATTTGTATTCCTYGAATAACCCCGACATACATGCTATAAATATGTTTTGTAATTTCTCTCTTATACATCCACTAGTGTAAAACTACCTGCCAAAATTATTCCAACCTCCATTGATTTATCATCCTTAAATGGTTTAATCTTACCTGTTATTAATGGTCCTCAACATAGATCTCTTGGATTATACTCACGTGCAAATCCACACAAGAGAAAACGGATTGAGATTATGTTCAAAACAACTAAATCGATTAAATTAGTCAATTTGGTTGGTTTGTGTCTAATAAACGTCAGTCAAATCATTTTCATAGATCTAAAATGTTTTGACTGATTTGATTACAGCCACCTCAATTTTGGTTTCATCTAAGAATCAAGTTAGACTAGTTGACCTACACTCGTACCGGCCAATAGATTAATCTTACCCCGATCCAACAACCGAACAACGTAGACCCTAAAAAATGTTTCGATCCTTTCCTACTCATCTTCTCATTGTACATATTTCAATCAAGTGAAGGCTAAGATATCATATAGAATTTATTTCATGAATGTCCGTTTATTTTCTTTGAGACATCGAAATCCAATGGGCCAATCTCACCACAACACAACAAAGGCAAAATCCATGTGAGAAGCAGTCAAACAAACGGTCTCAAATCTTTCCCTATCATACAATTGTAGCAATCAGACGGTTGTTGTCATTCAATAGAATTGCAAACTCAGCCAATTATATCTCTTCCTCTGGTGGGCCCTCAAATGTCCAGTCCACTTACGGCAATTTGTGGGACATTTAATTATTTTCTCGACCAAATTTTATCTCTTTTATTTTATTTACTTTTTCTTTTGTGTTCCAGATAATAATTAATTGTGTGTCTTTAACTTTGTTTTTTCCTCTTCTTCTTCTCTTTAATGTGCAGATGCAATCGCCTGATGGATTTAATTAATGATGGGTGTCTTCAAAATTTATGTCTCTGATTCCTTAGAAGTATGCTTAATTATCTTATGGGTAATTAAAAAGAAACAATGTTTATTGTTGTTACTATTTTTTATTTAGGGTCTTGATGTATATGTAGCTTTAATTAAGACTACTTGATTCTGTTTCGAGATATTATTTTTGAGTTTAGTATATTTGTCGTGGAAGTGTGGTTTGTCAAAGTCAATTCTTCTTGGGTGTTGCTTTAGTTGGTCAAGTTATTGAACTCCAACTAATGTTAATTATTGATTTTCTTTTAATTTGTTTTGTTATTGATTAGAAATTTTATACATCATTCAAATTATATTGCAAAGTTACGATCGAAAATGCAAATTGTTGAGGTAAAAATTTGGCCCTTCAGGATTTTGTCAAATTAGCACTGATTGTTAATAATGAAATTAGAAACAAACGTCAACCTGCAAAATAGATAGCACTGAACATCAATGTGGTGCTAGCCGCACAGGCTCCGATGTCCAAGTTAGAATCAGAAGTTTGTCAAGTATGGAGAATAGGGTTTTCAACCTAACTTTAGGGTTTAACTTACTGTTATATTTATAGAAGTCGAACCCTGATGCCCTTAGGAAACACACCATGTTGGGTGTGTGCATCTTGTGGGTTAAATGTTGAACCAAGCTAGGGACCGGTGGCTTGCAGTAGACTTTTACTTAGCGAGGTAGGTTCAGGCCAACCTCCATAGGGCCATCGGAGGGCTTTGTTGAAGTTCTTGGCAAGTGGTCTAAAACTAGTCGGCGCCGACCCCGGGTTAGCTTCGACCGATCCAGATCGCGACCCTTCTGTGTGTCAGGCCTTGGCCTTCCTGTTGATTTCCTTCATTTGGGTCTTTCCTCTTTGAGTCTAATTTATCCTTTTGTAGCTCGCTGGGCTTGACTTGATTTTCCCATAATAATTCCCCCATTCTATACGTTGTGATTCATTGGTGATGTTATAATTACCTCGAGAGTATATTCATTAAATCGGCCTTAAATTTATACTTTCTAGTAGTCGGACTTGGTTGGTTGTGACCTGGTCGGCCAGGACCTTGCAGGGCCCTAAAGCTGGTCATGTCCTAGACCAGGTTGTGCCCTAGATCTGGTCATACCTCGTCATGCCATGGACGCTGTCACACCTTGGATTTGGTCATACCCTGGGCCTGGCCATGCTTTAGACCTAGTGAAATCCTAGTCATGCTTGGACTTGGTCAGATCTGGTCATGAGCTAGGCTTGGTCATGCCCTTGATCTTGTCATGCTCTCAGCCATGGACTTGGTCATGTCTTAGATCTTGTCGTGCCTTGGATCTGGTCATGCCCTAGATCTGGTCATGCTTTGAGTTATAGACCTGTGACGTAGTTCACCTGTCAGGTTCAATTTTGTCTTCCTATAACAGTAGCCTCCACTCTTAAAATATAAGATAAAAGGCATTAATGAAATGCTAGATTTCTATATTGAGAGTACTTGTTGTTTGGCTTTCGAAGACTTTGTTGTTCATGTGCCGACCATTTCTATGGAATAGCAACATATCCTTTTGTTGTAATTAGTTTTAATCAAGTATCTTAGGCTCTACTATACGTTTAAATTTAATAGTAGTCTTTTGCTGGCCTCGGACTCTTGTTGGCCTTGGGCTCTAACTTAGTTGGACTGGTTTGCTTGCCTTTAATACCCTGGGTTTTGTTTATTTGCTTGACTCGTTTGCCCACTTTCAGTTTTAACCTTGCTGGACTCGTTCACATGTCTTTTTTAGTACCTTTGAGTTTTTGATCATTTAGGCTTGATTTGTCATTGATCTTCCTCGGTTTCATTGACTGGCTTCTAGCTTATTGGGTTGCTTTTGGTTCGTCCTTATTTAAGTTCCTTGATCAGGTTTTGTCGTTCATTAACTTAACCAACCCTCTACTCGAGGAGTGTATATTTTAGATGGAGATAATTTCTCAAATAATTGCAAAAAGATAATTAACAAAATTTCAAATGCTTGAAATTCGTTCAAACAAGAAACAAGCACACAATTTTAGAAAAATAAAATCTAACCTATCTTGAAACGAACATGCATTTGTCATTAAATAGATCTAACCTAAGCAATCAGTAACCGGATGCAAAAAAAACTAAATGTTGCTACGAAAAAGAAAGTTTGAAACATGCTAGTTACTTTACTCTGTTGCTCTTTAAGGTAGTATAGTAGCACTATCGCGACATGCATTGTTCTCCCTTAACTTCACCCACCCTTTCGAATGTTGAAAACTTCATGGATTGGTGATATGTGGAGGGTGTTGCCTTCAAACTATGTATGATGGGTACGGTCTACCCAATATCGCATTGTAGGATGAGGCATAGTTGACGACAAGGAACTCAACCATTTTTAAAATGCTACTTGATTCGCTGTCAAACGTCACGGGTTTTTCCATGCTTCCCTCAGATATTACATGTTCTCCGCCAAACCCGACTAGTGGTGTTTGGCTGTTTTTTAACCTCCTGTCACTCCTTTCCAAAGCTTTGTATGCACTCACAGACAATATATCTATAGAACTGCCTCTGTCCACAAATATTCGATGTAACGCCCCCCAAATTTCAAACAACTCAAAGTGGGGCATGTTACTAAAACAACCTAAAAAGTCTCTCTTATACAAGAGATTAAAACCACTAACCACTTTGACAGAGCGAAAACTCAACCATTTTATTTGCTCGACATAAACCTGTGAATTTAGACAAACAAAATAACTTGTCCTCCGTATACAAGTAATACAATCCTCTTATATTAGAGTTAAATCTAAACAAACTTGAGTAAACGACAATAGCCCAACAACCTATTCGATAGTAACTTAACCATGCAAAAATAATAGCAATCAACTAAACGCCTAAATCGATCACGCTTCCGCTGCGCTACATTGAATAATGACAATAAAAGGGAAAAAAATCCAACTAAAGAACTTATCCAAGCTTCCACTTCTCAAGTTAACAAGTTTTAAAATAAACAAACTTAACATACTTTCAATGGATCTGATGATCTAACTTTTAACGAGAAGTCAAACTCAGTAACAACACAAGTTAAAGTTTTTTCTAACTGCCTGAACTTTGCACAATCAGGGTTCTAACAGAATACATAACCCAAACAGATAAACTCATAACAACCTATTATAAACCCAATTAAACTACACAGAAACTAGCCATGGTCTTTCTTCTTGACTCTCCTCCACACCATCACCATGAACGTAACTCGAATCCTCACCTGAAAACAATAATTGGAGAGGGGGGTGAGTATAAAAATACTATGTAAGTAGCCGTCTCTAACTATGCACAAACAACATGCTCAACATAAACATTTGTTACAAAATATTAAACTGGCATTCACGCATCACTAAATCATAATGCTCATTAACACACACATGCAATCAACGTAATCGCAACAACATGGACCAATAAATCACAACGGTTAATCAACACACACCCCCAAGAATCCAAGATATTAAGACTCACGTAACTTCTATCACAAAGCCTGTTGGTCTCTAACTCCTTTAAGCTGACTCTAAGCCATCACACTATGTTAGTACTCCAAGTCTAACTCTTCGATTCATATCGGCCCTCGACATTTATCCCCAAGACCCCAATACTCCTCTATAGAAGCTTGGCGTTCGACCTTTACATTTATCCCCAAGACTTCGAACTGAGCTCCTCTAGGCTACTTCTAGCCCATCACGCTTTGTTAGTCCTCCAAGTCTAACTCTTTGAATTGAATCGGCCCTTGTCATTTATCCCCAAGGCCCGGACGATTACTCAGCGTATTGGTCCTTGACCACCACCACATCAAGGCCCATTGCTCATCATGCCAACCCTCGACCTTTTGTACTCGAAGCCTCGACACTCATCTCTACAAAACAAGCGTGGGTAACGTAAATCAAATTTTGAATAGGTGTGGGTAGGTGCCGAACGCCACAAAAATGTCGTCGTCCGCATTTTCCAGTACGGAAAAATGCTGAATCCGCTACCGACGCAGCTGGATGTTGAAGACAGGAAACAGGCTACCTACTCTAGGCTATTACGGGTTGTGGGTTGCTGCCGAATGGCCGAGACGAGGCTACACATCACCATACCACCGCGAACACCACAAATCCATCGAACTGCCGCGTTTAGTGCAGAATCGCTGGTGGTTGCTAAGCTCGGGCCACGTGGGTCGTGCAAAATGAAGCTTGGCTGCATGAGCTCGCACTGAAAATGCTGGAATCTGCTGCAGATTTGTGGGTTAGAGGTTGCAGAAAATGTGCAGAGATAAAAATTCTCACCTGAAAACAATAATTGCAGAAGGGGTGAGTGTAAAAATACTCTGTAAGTAGTCCTCTCTAACTATACACAAACAACATGTTAACATAAACATTCGTTACAAAATATTAAACTTGCATTCATGCATCAATAAATCATAATGCTCATTAACACACACATGTAATCAACGTAATCGCAACAACATACATTGATAAATCACAATGGTTAATCAACACACACATACAAAGATATAAGATATCAAGACTCACGTAACTTCGACCACAAGGCCCGTTGGTCTCTAACTCCTTCAAGCTGACTCTAATCCATCACACTATGTAAGTACTCCAAGTCTAACTCTTCGATTCATATCGGCCCTTGACATTTATCCCCAAGGCCCCGACACTCCTCTATAGAAGTCTCGCATTCGACCTTGACATTTATCCGTAAGGCTTCGAATTGAACTCCTCCAAGCTACTTATAGCCCATCACGCATTGTTAGTCCTCCAAGCATGACTCTTCGAATCGTATCAGCCCTTGCCATTTATCCCCAAGGCCCCGACACCCATTCGTAGAAGCTTGGCGTTCGACCTTGACATTTATCCCTAATGCCCCAATGACTCCTCAACGTATTGGTCCTTGACCGCCACCACGTCAAGACCCCATACTCATCATGCCGACCCTTAGCCTTTTTTACTCGGAGCCTCAACACTAATCTCTACAAAACAAGTGTGGGTAACGTAGATCAGGTTT